GAGATAAATAGGAGCTGTCTCGTATGGGGCAATAGGCATTCTGGAGTTTCTTTAGTCCTGCAACCTCCTTTATTCTTATGTTCTTACTAAGAAAGCGTAATCCTTAGAAGTCTAATATTAATTAGGTTTCTCTAAATCGTTGTAAACACTGGGGGGGGGGGAGGAAGCTTTCTTCAACCAAGCAGACTGTAGGTTGACCAGACCACACACTAGAAGGTGAAGGGACAACGACGTTTCGGTCCGTCCTGGACCATTCTCAAGTCGATTGTCTTGACTGTAAGCAGACTGTAGTTGGAGACACTAGCGGGATAGACCTGTCATGTCATCAGTTGACATGATTTCTCGAGTGTTAAAACGTATTTTAAGTGGGAATTTGGCCATGACTGTGTGACTGGTGATGTGTTTGTGGAGTGTTCAGTGCTTGGTCTCTCCTGGCGGACACGAAGCCTCTTAGGACTTCCCTATCCTGCCCCAGGATGCATCTCACTACAGTTGCCTAACTCCCAGCTACACGTTTACTACTACTGGGTCAATCGAGCCATCACGTGTAAGGAAACGTAAACAAATCACGCTGTTTATTTGAGCTTTCCATCCAAGAATATAAAACATGCGAATCTCAGCACTTCCGCTCCGCAAATTGACTATGGGAGACGCTGGGATGGTTAGGGAGGGAGGGAGAGAGGGAGGGAGGGAGAGAGGGAGGGAGGGAGGGAGGGAGAGAGGATGGAAGGGAAGGTCAACTATATACACTATCTGGGGGCCTTCGAATTGTGTTCATTGCTTAAAAGGTGGATGATACGTGAGTGTAATATGGGACTGAAACAAGGGAATAGTAAAGTACGACAAAGAAGCAGAATGAGTATGAAAGGAATTCGAGAGAGAGAGAGAGAGAGAGAGAGAGAGAGAGAGAGAGAACAAGAACAGTAACGGACACTCCCAGTCAACGTATCACGATCTATTTCTGAAATGCCAGCAGTTCATAATCCAGACACACGTTGTTCACTGGCCATGGAGGCGGCTCTGGCTGGTATGGGCACCTCCCGCTAACGTCCTCTCATCGTTATCACCTCACTATACCCGGTTCCTCACAGGAAGAGGACCTCACAGGTCCTCTTCAGGGTATCGGGTTCGTTACCACCCCTCCCACTTCAAGTGGGGTCCGGTACGACTCTCAGGAACCCATATTATAGACTTCCTCCTCATGTTACGTTACCTCAGATTGGGTTGGTGACGACTGTAGCTTAGACGAGCATGTATTGAGGATGTCACGCATCTACTCAGCTGTCACGCATCTACTCAGCTGTCACGCATCTACTCAGCTGTCACGCATCTACTCAGCTGTCACGCATATACTCAGCTGTCACACAGTAACTGTGAGAGAATGGTAATCTCTCAGCTAGACTACATGTACCCCCATGGCTGCAGTGCTGTGCATTGAGTATTTGTATATCACCCTTTATGCAAGGACACGAGTACCTGGTGTAGGGTGTCTATGGATCGGTGATCGCATGGGCAGTGCAGCTGTCATGTGCGTGGTGACATACATGACATCTGGTTATACTAGCAGATGACAGTTTATACATCTCGTCTGTATAATCGTAGGTGGATCTTATCGCTATAATTTTGGCTATAGAATGTAGAAGATAGCGAGTAAATATCATGGCTGACCTGACCTTTGCCAACGGTTCTGTCACTCCATCCGCCCACTCCCAGCAACGTCGGAGAAGCCCATAGTTCAACCATACATCCATACGGGTGTATGGTTGAAACAGCATTCTCATTGGCACTCTATGTGGAGGCTTCTAACTTAAGTGATACGGGGCGTGAGTTCTACCAGCTCGCTTTGAGCTCCCTCTCACCATTTTCGGTGAGGCAACCCTAAGGGCTAAGACAGGAACTCATGCAGAGCTCGCTAGTTCCGTAATTCCCAGGCTAAAGTACTAGGTCAGACGCATCCTGTGAGAGGCGACTCCTGGCGGTAGAGACGGCGCCCCATTCATCGTCGCTTATCAAGGAGAAGGGTGCATGTGAATGTGTGGTGTGTGTTGAATAACATCCTGCAGTCTCGGGAGGCTTTGGAGTCATATATGTATCTCCAGTTGCCGAGGCAGGAGTTCCTCTCCAGGGCGCAATGCCTGGGTAGGTCGATATGGAGGAGTAATTACAGGAGTAAGTACTCGTATAATTACTTGCGTACGCTAATTGTAACTCACATTTTCGTGGTGCTAAGTGCAGCCTAGTGAGCTTGGTGAATGTTCCTGACTGTTTGGTGCAACCATTCAGAGCAAGACATCACATGGAGTGCTGGTTCCTGACTGCGTATGTGTTTGTGAAAGTGTTTACAACACGTCAGATACTTGTACATGTAATCATTTCTCTAGCATCATTTTGAGTTCCAAAATTGTCTCTTGCATACGGCAGTGGTGTTCAGGCAGCCGGCATTGCTTGAGGTGTTCATATTAATGGCGCTAAGATTAGGTTGCATTGTTGACCAGACCACACACTAGAAGGTGAAGGGACGACGACGTTTCGGTCCGTCCTGGACCATTCTCAAGTCGATTGTCCACCCACCCACTTAATGGTCCAGGACGGACCGAAACGTCGTCGTCCCTTCACCTTCTAGTGTGTGGTCTGGTCAACATAATTTAGCCACGTTATTGTGACTCACCGCCTGCATTAGGTTGCATTACGCCATTTTGAGTAGACTCGCCTATATGACACCTCTTAAAGTAAGACATTTATCTCCCAATTTCCCTGTGTATATACAGTTTGTGTTCTAATAAAGTCGTATGTTAAGTATGTGGTGTTTCAGGAAATCCTTTCTCCTTCATATTGCAAACTGTCCTACAAAATCGATCGTCCGTATATTGGCCCTGTACACAAATATATTGTATTTCCTGAAGCGATTACTGTGATCTCCCTGAACTATCAGGTAGAGAGATCAGACACGACCTGTATCTGGCAAGATCTCTTCAAGATCTTGCACTCTTGCTCTCAGCATTTCACCTTATTGATAGCTGTCGTGGCATTCTTGCCCAGCTCAACTGCACACTTTAGCGATCCAAGTTTAAATAAAGTAAGCTCGTAATTAAAGTAAAGTAGAGCGTGATAAATCCCGAATCAATTTAGAAATATAAAACGTGCAAAAGGACATTTCTTGCGGCTCCGCTGTATGTCTTAAGACAAAAATGTTGTGCTAAGGTATTTTTTCTTTGGATTACGGAGCTCCTGACTCACTTTCACCTCAAACAAGGTGAGTAAGGTGTCTGTGTGGGTGAGTAACCACGCATGTGGCGATCATTGTTGTGTGTTGCTGAATGTTATCGATTTATGATACGAGGTGTGCTTAAGTGGGTCAAGGAGTTGAGGTGTGTACACTTGATTCACCTTTTGCGGGTGTGAGTGTATACGTGACTCATTAAGTGGTGGGTTTGTACACCTGACTCCCCCCTCTCAACATCCCTACACTCTCATCTCGTCCTCTCTCATCTAATATGTCACATCTTTAAGAGAATAGTTAAGAAATAAGACGTATTTGAATGGAAGCCATTTTACGAAAGATGATTGAAAAATAGATTGGTTAGAAAGGCTGGATCCAAGAGCTAATAGCTCGATTCTGCAGAGACTAATAGTGAATACACACACACACACACACAAACCGGGACCAAAGAGCCAGAGCTCAACCCTCGCAAGCACAGCTAGGTGAGTACGTACACACACACACACACACACTATATATATATATATATATATATATATATATATATATATATATATATATATATATATATATATATATATATATATATATATATATATATATATATATATATATATATATATATATATTATATATATATATATATATATATATATATATATATATATATATATATATATATATATATATATATATATATATATATATATATATATATATATATATATGTGTGTGTGTGTGTGTGAAGAAACAAGAAATAACTTGAGTGCTTTGGTGTCAACATATTTTGAAAAGTACAATCAGTGAAACACATTACTTGAATATATATAGGCAGCAAAGTGTTGTATTTCATTCATTGCACTTTTGAAAATGTGTTGAATAATACGAAAGCGCCTTTTCTTGCTTCATTTTCCTTCGTGGATAAATACCTTCAAATTCTTTCTGCCTTAATTTCATGATTTACATACATATACTGTACATGAATATATATATTTATATATAATCTATATATTTATAAAATTTACATAATTTATATTATGGAACTTGTCGGGAGGCTCCAGAATGCAAATCTACAACCAGAACATGTTTTTTTTACTTTTCAGTATGTGTATATTGATTGTATAACCCGTAATAGAGCGTCGCATTTTGACGTATACTCCGTCTTAAGGCGCAAAAATGGTCGGATTTAGCGCCTTAAGACAAGAGTATATGGTAGCGGCTCGCGAAGTTGACAGACTGTCTCGTTTTCTGTTTTGGGTCCTCTGGTAGGTAAGGATAAAGGCATTTTAGTATGACAGTTTCGTGACGGAAAATCTTTGGAGTACGGGCTGGATTTTGTTTATTATTATGAATATATGATGAAAATCAATGGACTTAGCAACCAGCATTTCATCTCAGAAGCATTTCAGCTTATATTACTGATATATATATATATATATATATATATATATATATATATATATATATATATATATATATATATATAACCAGTGTTAACTGCTACATGTAAAAAAAAACATTTTATTTATAATTTTCAACAACATTTTCCAGTTATATTTTCCTGTAATGGGAATTAGCAAAACTGTTTTACCCACAATAAATACAATCATACCAGTAGATTGCATTGCTATTGTGTATTTGTAGGTTACAAAAACTATCTCAAATGATTCACTAAATGACCATATTACTCTCCATCCTTGGCGTCGGCCAATCAGAAGCTGAGGCTTCTCACCATTGCACGAGCCACTGACCAATGGGAGTCCATCTTTCTCTTCCCCAGGGCCAGCGTGGGGGTCCACGGCCGCCTCCTCCGCCAGTCTGCCGGTGGCTGCCGTCGGCGATGGTAGTCTGGCAGTTCTCCCGGTTAGAATTATCGCGTGTTAATACCCCGAGATGTAAATTCCATAATGGAGATTTTTGAATATCAGTCGACTTTTTGTGTTCAATACTGATGAGGTTGTCTTTGCCGAGTGATACCGGCTCGTGTGAGATGGTGCAAAATACATTTGTTTGAGAGTGTGGGAGGCCAGGCTGTGATGGCTGGCGTGGGCCCTTGAATGACATCAAATCAAACGTCACCCTCCACCCACACGCCCTACAACACCACGCCCTCAACCCCAGCCACGCCCTCAATCCCAGCCACGCCCACTCACGCCACGCCCTCCAACAAGCAGGTAAGAAAATTGGGTTCATTACTGAATTTTATTTCATAATTATTAGCAAAATGATTAATGATAATAAAGTAATGGTTATATTTAATAATAATGCTTGTACCACCAACTACTGTAATGGTAGTAGCAATTATGGTAATGGTAGCAACAGTAATGGTAGTGACAACAACAGTAATGGTAGTGACAGCAACATTAATGGTAGTGACAGCAACAGTAATGGTAGTGACAGCAACAGTAATGGTAGTGACAGCAACAGTAATGGTAGTGACAGCAACAGTAATGGTAGTGACAGCAACAGTAATGGTAGTGACAGCAACAGTAATGGTAGTGACAGCAACAGTAATGGTAGTGACAGCAACAGTAATGGTAGTGACAGCAACAGTAATGGTAGTGACAGCAACAGTAATGGTAGTGACAGCAACAGTAATGGTAGTGACAGCAACAGTAATGGTAGTGACAACAACAGTAACGTAGTGACATCAGTAATGGTAGTAACAGCAGTAATGGTAGTGACAACAACAGTAACGTAGTGACAACAGTAATGGTAGTAACAACAGTAATGGTAGTGACAGCAACAGTAATGGTAGTGACAGCAACAGTAATGGTAGTGACAGCAACAGTAATGGTAGTGACAACAACAGTAATGTAGTGACAACAGTAATGGTAGTGACAACAACAGAAATGGTAGTGACAACAACAGTAACGTAGTGACAACAGTAATGGTAGTAACAACAGTAATGGTAGTGATAGTAACAGTAATGGTAGTGACAGCAACAATAATGGTAGTGACAACAACAGTAACGTAGTGACAACAGTAATGGTAGTAACAACAGTAATGGTAGTGATAGTAACAGTAATGGTAGTGATAGTAACAGTAATGGTAGTGACAGCAACAGTAATGGTAGTGACAGCAACAGTAATGGTAGTATCAACAATGGTAGTAACAACAGTCGTGATAACAATAGTAACGGCAGTGCCCCGCTAGAGTATACATAGCACCCACCAGGATATACATATATCACTGCCAGAGTGAGTGTTGAACATGCAACAGTGAACGGAATGTTGTGGCGCCGTTGTGCAATATTGACCGTTGTCAAGCTGCCGAGCCGGGAGCTGGGGCTGGGGTGGTTATCTCAAGGATGGCTTCCTGCCTCTCTCTCTGTCTCTCTCTCTCTCTCTCTCTCTCTCTGTCTCTGTCTCTGTCTCTGTCTCTCTCTCTC